AAAAAAAGCAAAATTCACAATTTCAAAAGTAATATATATATATTTTTTATTACAATTTTTTTATTTTGGAGTGAAATATGACCTTGAAAGGTTTTGTGAGACTCTTTCTCTGACATCAAAAAGAGTTGCAAGGCCACTATTTTAAAATTGGCCAAAAGTTAAAAACATTTACATTTATGTAAATACACAAATACACTGGGAAGATGCCGAAAGTGACACAACATTTAACATTAACACTACTGTGACTGCTGTAGGATCTCATGGGTTTTCAATGCAGTTTAAAAAAATGTTTTTTTAAAGTTGTAAATAAAGATATTTGGAGTATGTTGTACAAGAAAATACTATTTCAATCTAATTCAATGTGTTACTTGCTATTTCTTTGTTATTATTTACAAACACTTTCTGAGTGAAAATTGTGAAAATCCTGCAGTGTTCACCCCAGTGTGAGTGAAGGAGCTTGATCAAAGATAGCCATGTTGATATGAGATCCCTCAAGTGTATTTTGAAGCTGATCACAAACACAGTTCCAAATCACTGGAACAGCAACAAACTCTATGGAAATCTCTTGTGTTCAAACATTCCCAGGATTGCTTTGAAAGTCAAATATGCTGTGTGTGTGTGAGTGTGAGTGTGAGAGTTTACATATACCGTATGAACTCTAACCTGCATTACACTCCATTGTTGTGTATGCGGACTCACGTGGCGTGAACAGTACTCACATGAACCCATGCGGTCCATTTCAAAAAGAGTGGCGAAAGTCACATGACCACAGCGCATGAGTCAGGGAAGAGTAAACAGGTCAGTACACTTAATCAGACACTTGCTGTTTTTCAGAATGCACACACCCACATTTCATGAGTCAAGTCATTTCAAAGGACATTTTTAGGGAAATGTATAATGCATGCTTGTAGGAAAACAAACATCATATGACATCATGTGAAAATGAATTGTATACTTTTTCAGATTTTTAACAAAGAATTATCTGTGTTAAAGACATAGTTCACCCAAAAATGAAAATTATGTCATCATTTACTCACTTTTTCAAAAGAAAATGCGAACTAAACAACACTTAATTGTCCCCATTGACTTCCAGTGTATGAAAAAACAATGAGACATTTCTCAAGATATCTTTTGTGTTCCACAGAAGGAAGACAGACATACTGGTTTGGAACAACATGGGGTGAGTAAATGATAATTTTCCTTTTTTGGATGAACTATCCCTTTACCAGAAGACTCCCTTCATTGTGGGTGTGTAACATGTTTAAGTCATGACTGTGTTAAAAACAAAAGTCAGGTGATTGTGAAAAAGGAGGAGACTGTTTACAGAATAAATGAGATGGGCCTTTTAAATTGAATCTGAGGCTTGTAGTAAAACAGGTTAATTTCCTTGTTGAATTAACCTTGACTTGTGAGGCTTGATGGGAAAATCAACTGTTAATACACATTAAGCACCATTTATTTTCTAGGCCTAAATATGTCATGATGTATTCTGTTTGCACTAGAGGTCAAAGAAGTGTAGAATCTTGTCATTGTTTCTGGTTTCCTCTTATGTTTTTCCATTATCCACTCTGAAAACACACGCCCACAAACAAATTAAGCATCTATAGTGGAGATTCCCTCCTGTACTAACTGGATAGCCTTTAATTCACATCTTTACACTTCGGTTCTGTCCAAAACACAGCTCAACCCCTGTGGCTTTCACAGATCTATTCAGTAGAGATGCTAGTCATTGGGTTTTGTGATGTGTGGACAGGACATCATTGTTCTCTGACTCGTTTATTGCATCTCTATTGTCTTTGGCACAGAAGACACCATGATACATTTCACACATATGTGAAAAACATTTTTACATTTTTCTTAAAGAAAAAAAAAATTATGACCCTAAAATATCTAGTGTAATCATTAAGTAAAAATTCTAAAATATTTTAATTCCAACTTACCTAATGATTATTTTGATTAAATAATTTAATATTAAAATATATTAAAATAATTTAATATATATTATATATATATATATATATATATATATATATATACACATACAGAAAACTGTCCCAAAATCCCCACAGGAAAGAAAAATGACAATGTTAATCATTTCTCCTAGACAGCAATAAAATTGAATAGAGAGTGTAGTAAATCTTAAGTGTGTCTCCAGAGCTTTAGATAAGATCTCAACCGTATCTCAGTCTGCACTGCTGATGAGAATTCAAAAGTCTCTCCACAGGGTTCAATTCAACTATTGAAATGCGTCATTGGGAAAAAAGAAAATTTCTCACGTCATACCCTCAATTTATACCTGAATGGGTCTGTGTGGTTAAAGTTCAATTATGATGTCACACACAAAAGAACAAGGAATTAATAACAAACACAGTGACCTGTCAGAGAAACACAAAAGCATTTGGCTGTTCTGTAAATACTCATTTACTTCTGCTGATGACCTCAAAATGACATATTTCTTTAAAAAAGTTTTCAAACACATATATATAAATTACGATGAACTTAAAAAGAAAATAAATTCATTTTTGAGTCATAAAGACACTTTTTATTTGCCAATGAAGAAATGTGCCTATTTCTAAAAAGTATTGCTTCCAAAATATTTTATATGCTTGTTTGGTTTTCTTGTAAATGTTAATAGTAACTTTATAAAACTGATTCAGTGCTTATTTTTTTTAGTAAATAATAAATGGCAGTTATTTTCTTAAGAATTTCAGCCTTTTAATGATACTTTGTCTCATTTTCTTTTTACATGACATTTTTGTCTTGATGTCCCACAAAAAAATGCATAATTACCTAATTAGACAATAAAAACATGTTCACCTTAAAAGATTATTCAAAATCCTTTTTTTTTTTTGCATTAATTTAATTTTAATGAGCTTTAGTAATGTCACAAAAAGGTTTTATATGTTAAGATTAGATAACGCTATAGCAAACATTAAATAACAATAAATATTACTTTTTAACAGCACTTATTGATTTTGGTTAATATTACAAATGTATAAATTACTTTTAATTTAAAGTTAATTTATACAACTGTAAGTATTATGAATAAATGAGAATTAACAACGAACATCTGTATAAATACAGAGTTCTGGCATGAAACTCTAGATGGCGCCGTCCGATAGGTCTAACTCAATCTGACCTAATGACATCATTATCACATGGCACAGCTGATAGGTTCTCTCCTGTATCGGTAGCCAATGAGCTCGCTGCTCAACATTCAAATATATGACTAGTGCTTGCCGTAGCAGTTGCAGCTTGCTTCAGAAACACTCCAACTTCCCCAGCTCCACCTGTATAGATCTGCTACAAGGTGATTCATGTACGCTATATGGGGGTTATTTCATGTATGTTATATTTGCAGCAGCAATATTTCTTACATGCTCACAGCAGCATGTTGTGGATGTATTGGCAGTAGCAGCAGCAGCGTAGCAGATCTATTCCGCCAAGACCAAATACATTAACATTGTCATGTACATTACCATGCCAATCCCTCCGAGAGTTGTCATGACAGAAATAAACATTAAACATTAAAGATTGTTTTTCATTGTTAGTTCATGATACTTAACGCATTGGTACACTACACAAAAAAAAGATGTAGAAACAATTTTCACTCAGAAATTGCTTGTAAATTTTTACAAATAATTACAAAGAAATGACAAGTAACACATTCAATGAAATGTGAAATTTTGAAGTAGAAAGACTGAAATAGTATTTTCTTGTAAAACAAACTCCAATAATCTTTGTTTTATTTACAACTTTGAAAAAAAAAATTTTTTTACAGTGTACATTGTAAGTCGTTACTATTTCCCATATATCAACATCAGTCTAAGCTGCTGATTTGGCAATTCAAATGTAGCTGTTTTTGTTATGCCAATGAATCATATTGAAACGGATAGAGAGGGAGAGGGAGGAGACAAAGAAGGAGAGTTTGAGTGAGGAAGTCTGAGAGAAGGAGGGAGAGAGAGAGGGAGGGAGGGAGAAAGAATGCTATGATGTCACACCAGTAGTGCACTCAAATACAAAAGCAGCTGAGAGAAAGACACGCACACACACACACACACACACACGCTGCTGCCTGTTTCACTAACACAACTCCACAGCACACTTCTCCAGCTCTGAATGTGAGTACTATAGTTCACTTTCCTCTCTCTCAGCACACTTCATCAGCACTCAGCAGTCTCTTTGTCCTCATCTTTACAGCTTTTTTCATTCTCTCTTTCTCTCAATCTCTCTGTATCCTCTCTCTCTCCCATGTGCTGAAGAACTGAGACTGTTTTGGTTAGAGTTACAGCTCCCGATCTGTCTAACGGCTGCTTTCTCTCCTGCTTTGTTTCTTATAGTTGCTCTTTTGCCAACTTCCAAGAGTCTTTTGTGCTGTGAGTCTTTGTGTAAATGTCTCAGTCCCTGGCTGTCTCTATTGTCCATCCCTAATGTACCCAAATTCAAAGTATTCTCTGAGTGCATCATCACAGTTTTAACATGTTATTTCAGCTGCATTTGAACTAGTTTTATGCTCAGGTTGTTAGTTTTGCTTGAGTAAACTCAGTTGTTGTGTGTACTTCTTTTATCACTATAATTAAAAAGCACAGATGTTTATTAATTTATTGCTGCTTTTTTTGTTTTGAATGGCTTCGTTAAGTTGTTTGGTGAAGAAACTGACCTGGTGCATGATTGGTTTTGAATAGAGAGGCTCTTTGTTTGAGGAATGGTAGTGCAATAGGATTATTTTCTGGCTGAGAGAAATAAAGAAAAAAAGAGAGAGTTAAGGACTGAAATGCTGTAGTAATCTGTGTAATCCGTGCAACAGGGATGGAGCTACTGAATGAGAAAACTAAATAAAGTGAATGAGGGAGAGAAATATAGATGCTCATTTAGCCAAAGTCAACAGAGAGAGGAAAATCACACAGCTCTGGAATAAAACAGACTGCTATTGTCAACACAACTGAACAGAAGTCTGGATAAAACCATAAAACATCCAAACTTACAGCTGCTTAGAGGAACGTTTGTCCCAACAGTCTCCTTTAACCCCCACAGGAGAGAAAATCACAAAGAGAATCACTGTAATATAACAATTGCTTCTTCTAGACAGTAATGAGATTAAGTAGAAAGTGTGATTATCTCAGATGTATCTCCTTAAGCTTCATATAAGATCTCAACAGTATCTCAAAATGTACGCCTGACAAGAATCAATGTTTAAAAGCCTCTCCATAGGGTTCAATTCAACTATTGAAATGTGTCATCTGAAAAAAAAAGATAATTTTTCGCTTCATGCGCTCAGTTTATACCTGAATGTGTTCACAGCTCATTTATGATGTCACAACACTCATTGACTTCTGCTTGTCAATACCAAAAAATGTTCTTATAGAGTTACTGTATTTGACTTTCACAAAAAAGTTCAAAATAGGTTATATTTATAGGGGTTCACAGTTTCATAGTTTTCTTGTCACATGAAAACAAAACCTGCATGCTGGTCTTGCCACACCAACTTTGATTTGGTGGATAAATGGATTATTAATCATTTTTTAAATAATGCTTTATTGCATATTTGTGAAGAAATAATAAGACAATGACAAACTACTTATGCCAACATATCAGACTTTCTTAAAGAGACAATTTTTAAAGTCTACAGACAGATATAGCAAGTAGATATTTTTGACTGTAGCCCCAACAAATGTCTTAATTTATTCTCATTGCTGTTTAACAACTGAGATAAGTATTATCATAATCTTATATCTTATTATGAATTTCTTATCAAGATGTTCCAAGAAAAATTCTCAAAAACATCTAAGAGCTTCATTGAGCCTCTTAAGCTATGAAAGAGCAATTAAACTGCTCTCTGCTCTCTTCAGAAAGAGGAAATTGGAGTGGGAAGCTTTGTTGCTTTACAAGTGAAATCAGGATTATTTAATGCAAAGATATAAAGGAGTCGCCCATAAAGAGGGGCTGAACAAAAATGACAACAGATGCTGTAATGGATCTTTTTTTTTTTTTTTTTTTTACCTCCTCCCATTTCTCTCTCTCTTTTAGGCTGGAATCACATGGCCAGAGTGTGGGACAGAAACAAACTCAACAGCAGGATCTAAAATGCCAATCTTTGGAAGATAGAGGGAGCTTTTGTTTGAGAAAAGGACGACAAGAATTCCAAAAAAGGAGCTGGACTCTTCAGAGAGCATTTTTGTGTACCAGCACACTTAATCAAAAGCCTACAACATACATACAGACACAACATGCTGCAGCAAATCCTAGCTGACATGTACATCGACCCTGATGTACTAGAGGCTTTAAATGAGGAACAGAAGAAGATTCTGTTCTTCAAAATGAGAGAGGAGCAAGTCAGGCGCTGGAAGGAGTGGGAAGAGAAGGAGGGCAAGGAGGGGATAAAAAAAGAAAAGCTCCAGCAAAAGAAAGGTATGAACTCACACCCTTTCTAAAAATACAGCCACGTCTGTCATTCTGTCAGCATCAACAGGAGACAAAAACTATTTACAGAACAGTAAAATGTTTTTGCGCGTCTCTGACAGGCCACGATGTTTTTGCACATTCTTAAGTGTGTGACATCTTAATTGAACCTCACAGACCCATTCGGAATAAAGTGAGCACAAGGTGAAAATTTTTCATTTGGTTCCGATGACGTGTTTCAATAGTTGAATTGAACCCAATGGAAAGACTTTTGAATAGTGATTGTAGAGAGCAGCGCAGTGAATATGGCTACATTCACACAGCAGTGCTAAATATATTTCAGTTCTGTTAGAAGAGAGAAAACCCGTGTTCACGTACACTTCAGCTATTAAAGAGCTTGACAATAGCTTTATATAACCAAAATGACTACCTGACAGTTTCAAAAGCCTTTGTTTTTTTTAGAAATATTTGTATTTTTTCCCCCCGAAATAATATTAATAATAACTTAACTAAGCTTCCCAAGCTTCCTGTTTCAATTATATCTGCATTTGATTTTTTCCATTTTATAACTGATGGGGGTACATTTAGATTTTTCAATATTTTGTATAATAGTTTATGTACAGTTTTTTAAATGCTGAAAAATGCTACAAAAAAAAAAACAAAGGTGTCTTTTCAGCATCATTACTCCAGTCTTAAGTGTCGCATGACCCTTCAGAAATCATTCGCTGTTCAAGAAACATTTATTATTATCAATGTTGAAAACAGTTGTGATGCGTAACATTTTTCTGGAAACCAAAAAATGTTCTTTCAAAAATAAAATCTTACTGACCACAAAATTTAAACGGTAGTGTAATTTAAATACTGACAGTGCAATACTATTTCAACACATATAGAGCCTGATTTAGTGAATTCACCCCTTGCTGTGCGAACGTGGCCAATCAGAGAATGATTCACTTTTATTGAATCTCTGTGCAGATCCTTTTACGCATTTCCAGCAAACTATACGAAAGCAGCTTGTTACGAGGAACTCAAAATAAATCTTTTAACACACCCTTACTGATGTAACAAGAAAATCAATGCCTGTGTGAAACGTACCAACGTCATTTCAAGGAGAGCACATATTTTTGAGGCCAAAGGAAATTAAGTGACCTGAAAGAGAGAAAGAGTCACATAACAATACCGCAGAGACATGCTACAGCATGCTACAGCTACTGCAAGGGTGAAACCAGAGCCAAATTCCAGTTTTGCAACACTGACCTTGCACCACGGCACAATACTTACATGCAAATCACCTTGCAGTAGATTACTGTTTATCTCCATAGCATCAGCATTTGTAAGTAGTTGTTTGGGATCTAACCCCTGTAATGCTGTAGGGGCCCAGCCACCATAAATTCCTCTAAACATTTCAGGGCTTTCTAAGACTAATGCCTGAGGATGTGCTTTGCCAGAAATTTGGGCATGGAATGTTCTCAGGAAGCACAACATGCAAAACAAAGCAACCATAAAAGAGCCATTTTTGGTTGCCCGAAGAACCTTTCAGTGAACAGTTCTTAAAAGAAACATTTTTCTTAGTGTGAACAGTATTTAAAAAATAAATTTTGTGGAATTAAAATGTTCCAGAGATTTTAAAGATTCCTTTATTTTTAAATGAAAATTTAGAAAATGTACTCACCCTTAGGCCATCCAAGATGTAGATGAGTTCGTTTCTTCATCGGAACAGAATTGGAGAAATGTAGCATTAAATCAAATGCTCACCAATGGATCCTCTGCAGTGAATGGGTGCCGTCAGAATTAGAGTCCGAACAGCTGATAAAAACATCACAATAATCCACAAGTAATCTACACCACTCCAGCCAATCAATTACATCTTGTGAATGGAACGGTATTTGACAGTGCAATCAAACAAATAGACAGTGCAAGAAACAAGTGCAAGACAGTGCAAGAAACAAATCCATCAAGGCATTTTAACTTTTAACTCTTGCTACTTAATTGATGGACTGGAGTCGTGTGGATTACTTGTGGATTATTGTGATGTTTTATTAACTCTTATTCTGACTGAGCAAGTGATGGTCCAATGAAGCAACAAACTCATCTACACCTTGGATAGCCTAAGGGTGAGTACATTTTGGGTGATTTATTCCTTTAAAAATGAAAGTTCATTAGAGAATAGAGAAAAAAGAAGCTAATAGTGTGGTTTTCAAATGACAGTATGAGGAAAAAACTCAGAACAAGAGTTTGTGTAACATGGAATAAATATATTGTACATGGAATTTCAAAATATCAGATGCTCGTAACATCTGTGACAGCTTGAACCTATGTTCTCTGGCTGGGAAAAAACATTCAGTTCATGTGTTGATGACGATGGAATCCAGCTGAACAGGAATTGATGTTTACAACAGCATTTGCTCAAGGATGTAAATGTTCTTGTAAGTGTTTCTATCACTAGTGCTGGTATTCTCCCCCGGCTTCTGTTTCTCATCAAAAAAGCGTCAAGTCACATGGGCCACATGTAACACAGGGCCTTTGTGATGTATGTTCATCTCCTGCACAAAAGAGAGCTGCTGTGTCACAGTCATGCAGTTGGACTCTTATTCATTTACTTTAGTTTGACATGAACACAGTCAAATCTCTTTCTGTACTCTTTTGATTTTCTCTCCGTGGACACACAACTGACAGGGTTCACAGCTCATGTCAATGGCAGCATTGTGAAATGCAGCTGTGTCTGTCTTTCTCTCGCTCAGCACTTTGTGGCTGGTTTTTTCAGTCGCCTCAGCTGATACTGTGTGTGTCAGCTCTGCGTCAGCGGTAGTCGAGATAAATACTGTTGAAGTTTCCGTTGGCAGCTCTTTTTGTACACAAACAAACACAACTATTGGCTACCACTGGAACTTTGTACCTGAGACTCTTTCGCTGCCCACTGGAGAGAAAAATCACCAATGAGATTTCTGTTATATGTCAAATTGTTTCTCTTTCACAGTAATCCGATTAAATGGATAGCAAATGGAGACTTTGAGGTGTGGTCAGACTAAACATAAGCCTGTGGAATTAATACAGACACCTAATATGCGTCAATGAATATGAGCAGCAGGGTGTGATGCCACACTCCAGGACAGTTTTTGAAGTATAACCCATCCTTTTTTTCCCAGACATTTCCTCTAAAGGTGCAAATCATTTAGAAGCACACATTAGTCCAGCAAATCATCAGCCAAAGGAGTGAGTTTGTGAGCTACACAACTAAATTAAACACTTTCCAATAAGTCCTGGTAACATTTGTTAAGGTGTCACAAACTAATATTTTTCATTGTATAAATAGATGTTGGTGTTTCTGCATATTATGCATTTTTGACATTTAAAAAGTATTATATCTGCATTAATGATTCCTAATGCATTAACTAATGTAAGTAACATAACTGTCCTCTTTTTCTTTTTGAAGCCTAACACTAGTTTTTGATAAATAATAGATTATACATATTATATCAACATATACAATCACTACTGAAAAATTAAAGCATGCATCTCATCTTAAACTTGTTAACACTCTTTAACGTCAAAGATCTCAACATGAACTCAACCATTTATCATCAAATTACAAATAAGACCAAATAATCAGAACATCTTCATTGCTCTATACAAGTGCTTCCCAACCTTTTTGACTCCAAGGCACTGTCCACAACAACAGTTAAAGACCTACATCCTTTCCAGCTGTTCATGATTCACTGGATAAATATTTAGCATAAGGATTTGAAAAAAATATTTTTCTCACAATATCTAGCTGATATACCTGAACTATTTTGTAGAGCTTGACATATAGAAAATGTATATTCATGAAATGCCTCAAAATTCTCATGAAATTATAGGATTTTATTAATTTACATGACTTTTCAAGATGTAGAAATCATACTTTTATAATTAGGCTTCCTTATATATCCAGGTTTTTCATGAACCATGGTTCTTTGAGAGAAAACAGATTCTTGAAAAGAATACTCTTAGAATAGTTTGCTGTGGGCCCCTGGTTGAGAACCACTGACCTGTTCTTCTACTATATCAACAATTGTCTCATTTATGCTTATTTTAAGGAGTTTAAATGGATAGTTCACCCAAAATTGTAAATTCTGGAACAATATGGATCGGAACAACATGGAGGTTAGTAAATGATTGAACTGTACCTTTAAGGAGAAACAAAGAGCGACTTCCAAGCTATAAAAGTCTCCTATTGGATGGTATAAACAGATTTTTTGAGGGCTTGTTTTCTTTAATTTGTAGTTTTGTTACATAAAAGAAAGGAAAAGCTCAACCATTGATAAGCTGCGCTCCTTTACAAGGTGTAGCTCTAATCTCGATGTTCAGGTGTGGGGTCATAGTGCTTTAAGAAAAAATCCTCAAAAAACACATTCATCATCATGCAGTTACATCACCTTTCAAAAACACACACCATGTCTTAAGCAGCATATGTGGGTGCACCATGTGACCTAGGTGACACACACACACACACACACAAAGATCTAACCATTAGTGTGACAAAATACCTTATAAAGATGTGTGTCAGTTTTATTATATAACTTTTGTAGTTTCAGCTACACATACTGAACATTTCTGAGATTTCTAACAGAAACATCCTCTAAATTCATCCCTGCATGTAAGTGAAGCCATCTGATCTGCCTCGCTCTTAGATGTAGCGTTGCTTCTGTCAACCTGGAGAACCAGTTCTTTACATAACCCTTTCTGCTGGTGCTGAGGTGTGTTAGGTTTTCCCTTACGTGTATGCAAACAAAAAGAAAAACAGATCGTGCCCTGCTGGAACAAACCGTTTCCTGCTGGGAAATTCTTGACATTTTTCTAATTCCCACTGTGATATGCATGGTATTACTATGTACTTTTAGATTGTTTAGCTGAGGTGAACTGTGGCCCCCTACGATCAGCACAAGGATCCTCTTTGTCGCCTCTTATGTAAGAACCACATATAATTTGATCACACTTCATTTCTTGCCTTCAAACACTTGGTGTAATCTGAGAAGTTTAAATCACACTGAAATAATGATATGGGTGACGGGGAAGGATTCACAGCCTTTTTGGGTCGGTGCAAGTGTCTGTAAGGTGATAATACAAGCCTGATGAACGCTGGCATTGACATCTACACACTGAATGACATTAACTTCTAAACCAGAGCAGGCGACCTACAGTATGCAGGATCAATTTCACTCAATGTCACAGTGCCATCTGTCTGTGAAAAGGACACACTACAGAGTGTAATGTTGAAAATCAAGAGGTCATGGTTTGGCTGGTTAACATCTCAAAGAGGTCTCTAATGCCTAAAAAAACATCCGTTAGTGTTACCAAATAAAATATATTGCATCAGAATACAATTTTAAAGGGCCGTCAATGGAGAAATATGCTTTACGCAGGACCTTTTGAATTTAGTAAAGAAGATCTAAATAAAATGAAATTACAGACTATTAAACCTCAAAAATACCCATTATCTTTGTTCAAAAAGCAAGTAAAAGGACTAAACATGTGTTGTTGTCTCTGTTGTGCATCTTTGTCTTTGTAACTTAATTGTTTCTGTGTTGCTCATTTATTTATTGTTTCTCAGATATTGATTTTCTTGACATGTTTATTGTTTTTTCCTCAGGCCCTTGTAAAAGTGTGAGCTGGCTGCTTGGCAGCGACGGTGATGTGCATGTGTGTATTATCGGAGAATCTGACGAGCTCAAATCTCCAAAACTCATTCTGTCCGAGCTGAAAAACAAAGCTGCGGCCAACCCCAATACTTTCAACAGGTACAACACCCTCAATAATAGGTAGAAATACACTATGGAAGGGATTATGGTTGACTGTACATTATGGACATTAAATATTCATTTAAATGTATATGATTTTAAAAAGGATGTATTTGATTGATCAAAAGTGACAGTGAAGACATTTACAAAGTTTCTATTCATCACAATTCGAAGACTAATATATATATATATATATATATTTGTAATAATATTACAAATATGGTGAGCATCGACCCAAATCTATTTAATGGTAGAGTGCTTAGGAAATCTAGTTGTCTTTTAATGGTCATTGCACTAAAATATCTGATAGCTAAATACCAGCTAATTTAGCTAATACAGACTCAGAATCAATTATCCCAGAGAATCATATAATAAACCTCAATAACAGCAGGCAGAAATACTTACTAATAACAGCAGATAAAAATACACTGATACTACACCACAAATTCAAACATTATAGCAATCTAACTATTCTAAAAAACCACAGAGTTAAATGCGCTTTTCTTTGTTCACAGAGCAAAAGCAGAACCTGTAAATAGCAGCTTGACCAAACCCAGCAGAGCACAACAAACCAGCACAGAATCAGGGATCCAGCTACTGCTCAAGGTGTGTGTGGATACTAAATGATGTCAATAAATAAATAATGTTTTGCTTAGGAAATTATGTTGTATTGGACATAATATGGTAACCCAACACAGTTCCAAAACTATTAATTTGCACAAAAATGTTGTAAAAAAAATCTAATTAAAATTGCCATAAACTTCATAGGCCCAACAAAATTAAAAAGTTATTACATTCACAATTTACATGAATTCATTTAGCAAACACGTTTAACTAAAACAACTTGCAATAGAGGAATACAAGTGATCCATTTTAAGGAGGCATATATATAGGCTGAATAGTAAAACCACTGATCTATAATAGATAATATAATATAGATCAGATCAGTGAGTAAAACTGACCATTTCCAAAAAAAATAAAAATTTGAGTCACATTTGTCTTTTACGTTTGGTCATTTTTTTGTTGATTTTTTAGGATGGCAATGTCACACAACCTCTCCATGTTGGTATCATGACTCGCTTCTGAGTACGTACATACTCTTTTTAAGAGCCTGTTTAAAGACGTTTTTTCATGTTTTTATGAGAAAAAAAATAGTTGCACAATTTTGCGTCACGAAGCGGTTAGGGCAGTGTTTCTCAACCCTGGTCCTGGGCGCCCCCCAGCACTGCACATTTTGTGTGTCTCCCTAAGCAAACACACCTGATTCAACTCATTAGCTCATTAAAAGAAACTCCAGGACCTGAAATGGGTGTGTCAGATAAGGGAGACATACAAAATGTGCAGTGTTGGGGGGCACCCAGGACCAGGGTTGAGAAACACTGGGTTAGAGGATAGAGAATATCATTAGCTTAGTGTAAAAACAATTGACCTGAATGGAAAGTCCAAACGTGTGCGTGAGTGTGCATATGTTTAAATGTGATTTGACATGAATGTGCATATATGTGAGAAAACGCACATGTATGTGTTTATGACTTTAATAATAAGAGCAGCAATAATAATAAGACCATGGGTGTGTGTAGTTGGACAGGCTAGGCTCCCCTGAGCAGATGGTTTAGAGCCTGGGCAGAGAATTAAACGGTGTCAGATGGCAACAGTGCCACATTGCCAGAGGGAATACACACACACACACACTTCCATCTCTCTTTGTGTCTCTAAATTTGTCAACTCCGATTTTATAAGTGTTTACAAATGAGTTTCATTTAATCTGCCACAGAAACCAGAGGAGCTCAGTGATTCCACGACAGTCTCAGATGAGTCCAAGCAGGACAGCGGTTCTGATCAGTCAGCTGACGACACCAGGGGCCAAACAGATGACTCAGACTCAGGCAGTGCGGAGGAGGACATGGGCCTTTACAGATCACATATGAGCAATGCAGAGACAACAGTAGCAGACAGACTCAGAGAGCTTCAACTGCACAGAGCAATGAAAGAGCATCTGTCAATCAACAACAAGACACACCCACTGGACACACCCACACCAGACAAAGGTAAGAGCACAGAAGTAGAATCTCAATTAATCCCAGGTATTCTTTCAACAATATACTATATCCCAAGAGGTCAAACTAAACTTTTATTATCTATTAATTTAATCTGTTTATCTATTCATTCAGTTTGTAATATTTTTTTTCTGTGTTTGAGGTTACATTTTTTTCATATATATATTATATATTTACATATTACATATCATATTTCTATCCATAATTATAATTATATTATATAAATATTATTAAATATCGAAATATTATATTATTTTATTATAATACTACAATATTCATATTCATTTTATAATATTAAATATCTAAATATTATAATATTTTATAATATTATTGCAGAACTAAAACATTAAATAAAATAAAAATAAGCACAACATATATATATATATATATATATGAATGATTAAATACATAAACATTATAATACTGTTTAATATTATTTCATTTAATATTATTTAATAATATATTTATATTAGTTAATATATAAGTATTAAATATAAATATTATAACAACTATTCAACAACATCTGTCCTAATAAGACAAATATCACATAATAAATGACATCAAAATACATTTATTTTCAAAATTAAACGATTTATAAAATAATTATATATAATTTTTTTATTTATAAAATAATTGTGTATTTGTTTGCGTAGTATTTAATTTTGATTAAAATATTTTTCAAATATAATTGAAAAGTAACAGATAATAAATTATCTCATATATATTTGGTTTAAAATGGTTTATTAAAACCTTACATTTAGAAAGGGACATTCATGTTGTTGTCAATGTAAATGGACAGCAAGCGCCATCTAGTGGACTTCTAATGTCAGTAGCACCGCCAATATACGGTAAGGCCTGCATGCGCCACCTACAGGACACACCAGTCACAGCAACACTTTCCTTTGTTTACCAGCTGCGGCTAATATTTTTAAAACAAGGCACTTTGCGCTGGTCTTTGCTTACTAAAATGCTGCACTGTCTGCAGACCTACACATCAAGTACAACCAAAACTCCTTTGGAAACAGAAAACAAATACGAGCTCACAGGATTCAAAACATATTAACGACCGCATCCTACCTCTACCTGACTTTCAGCTTGGGATGGCAGATGTTGGTCAGGTGTTGTGCTGTTTGTGTCGTAACCTCATAATATTGCACATACATGTGTATTTATTTAATGTTAAAGTGGATAAATGATGATTTGCGTGTGGCTCATGTGTACGTTTGTGACTCAATATGTGCGGGGACGCGCGCGCGCATATGTGTGCGCTGGAGCGGGAATTTGCGCTGATCCCACGTTTCCATGGCGACAGCATAACGCAGTCAGGGGGTCACGGCTGCAGGGAACGGCCAGAGAAACATCAACAGGAACAGCGGCTCAACTCCTGAGAGAGACGTGACAAAACTAGATTGCTCCCTTTATAATCAGCACAGCTGTCTAGTATCTAGTTACAGCCTCTGAAATAGGTCAATAGACTACTAATCTTATAGGCCTATAGGCTACAGGCACTGGACTAAAAATATATTCAATCAGTCATCGCTCCCAAAATGAATTCAATGCGTCATCTTGTTAATGCTATAAATTAATTACAACAATAAAATAAAATTTCATCATGAACATACATGAACAACAATATCAATTAAACCACAGAAATTCCAAAATGACATTTCCCTTACATTCAACTTCCAAAAGTGCATTCATCTTTGCCATGTTACATTCATTTAGTTGACTAGTGCTATACGCAGTATTAACAAAAACATTAATGGCATAAATAAAAACACACTGACAAGCTACGCAATATCGCGTTCATAATCGAATGCGACTCATCTGCGATTATGAAAGCGATACCTTACGGTTTGGAAAGAAAAGGAGAAAACATGACAGTACAACTTGGCAGATATCGCATTTTGCGTAAAATTAAAAATGGACTTTTCAATACCGACCAGATATTCCATCATCACCCAGGTGCTGATAGCCCGCGCGCACAGGTGAGACCTGAACAGCACACGTTGATATCTGTGTTTAAGCTAAACTCATTTAAGCTTTGCCAGTTTAAACATTTAAGAGCCAGAGGAAGCGAGCTCGCGCAGTGAGAAAATTTGTGCGTGCGCTCATCCGAAGCGCACAAACCAGCGCCTCAGAACACAAGCAAATATTAAGTTCTCTCTGATGTATTGTGTTTAAATGGACAAATTCACACAAAAATTATGTCAAAATGCCCGTCTTGGTAAGTATCCTATAGCAGACATAGCTGGCTGAATGTACTGTATCAGTGCACTGGATCAGTGCGTTCTCTTAAAGTGATAGCACTTTCTTAATATTAATCAAACAGCAACAACAAAGAAATCGCTCACTGCTCTTGATTAAATAGCTTTTGTAACTTTAATAAAGATTCATCTTTAATTTATACAGTCTAATATGCAATGCTGTTTTACATTTCATTACTTTATTCAATTTAAAAACTAATGTTAGACCTACCTAAAAAAAAAAAAAAATGAAATCACTGTTTATTTTATTTGTATCTTTACTCTATTGTATTTATTTGTGCTGTTGCTTGTAGTTAGATAAATTATTCTTATTTTCATTATTTTTGACAGTATAGTTTTTCCCTAAACATAGCACATACCGAACCATACCGAAACCGTGACTCTAAAACCGTGATACAAACCGAACCGTGAGTAAGTTGAACCGTTCCACCCCTAATATATATATATATATATATATGTGTGTGTGTGTGTGTGTGTGTGTGTATGATGAAGGTCCAAAGAATTACATCTGAATATATTGTTAGGCCTATAAGTGTGAATATATATATATGTAAATTGGAATATAGATATAATTCTAAATGTATATATACAAAACTGAGTATATGAATATAAATCATGAATAGCTATATGTATAGAAGTATATCTGAATATATAGTTATAAGTCTGAATATATATAATAAAATAAGAAACACAAAAACATTTATGTATCAAGATATGTATCTATATATTCAGGCTAACAAGCTATATTCAGATTTGATATAATATTTCTTGTTTAGCCCTTTATAAAACTATATATGTATTCATATTTGTCCGTCCTTTTTGCTTTTTGGATGTTTTTTTTTTTTTCATTTTCATTTCATTTTTCATTAAGCTTGTCAATGTATTCTGGGATTTCCTATATATACAAAATTTTAACATGTCCTGTTTCAGATTGGAATAGAGAATAGTAATTGCTTAAAATTTATATTACATTTACATATTTACATATATTTATATTACAGTTTATATTACATTTTGAAAAGACAAATTATTGTTTTAAACTTAAACTTTTAAACATGAGTGTCAATGTCCCCAAAATGTCTTGCATTGCATTGTCGGAACTGAATAGATTGTTTTGAATTTCTTTAGATTATTTGGAAGAGTGTGTTATCGCTGATGACTTTGACACGTTGCACCTGCTTGGACATTTTTAGTGATTATTATGGGAACGATCTTGTGTTGCCGTGCCGATGCTTGCAACTCAGATATAGAGGTTGCGTCACGTGAATACAAGGGGGAAAAACTGCAGGTAGAGGACATAGTAAAGACCCCTGCATCAGTGCGGAAGGAAAAAACTGATGGCAGAGAGTCAGTCTCACCGGAAAAGTGTGAAGGGGGCAGAACTCCAGGCTTAGACCCCTCAGGGAGAGTCTAAAAATATAGTTCTCCACCCACTGGCCTCTCCTCTGAGTCTCACTCTCCACAGCATCTGTCTCTGAAGTCACCCACGATCCCCACAAGTGTCCTCCCCGTCTCGTCCCATTCCCCCTTTTACCTCATTCACCCCTTCACCTTTTCCCTGACCACCTGTCTAACCCTGTTTAACACATTCAAATTGAGTCATCACTCCCATAACCTTTACCCTCTACCTCACTCTCACGTGATTTTTTGTACTCTCTTCGTCCTTTACTTTCTTCCTCTCACTTTTTTGTTGTCTTCTGCCTGCTGTCACTCTCCTTACTTCTCCCTCTTGTGACCTCTAGACCTGCCTCGAGTGGGTGGAAAGGAGGATCAAGAAAGAGAGAGAGAGAGAGACAGCTGTGGAAATATTATAATCCCCGGCGGGTTTGTGTCAAGGGTCTAACAGCTTTTTAGTCAGCAGTGATTTACAGACAGTCAAAGTCTCGTAATCACGAATTTCTTAACGCGATTAATTCAAAAATCCTTAACGGGTTAAAATAATTTAACACAATTAAGGCAAAATTACTGAAGCACTTTTTCTATTCTAAACCTTTTATCCGATTTCGCTTCTCTGATTGCAATCAGATCATTTTAAACCCATAAACTCCGGGAAAGTTTACATTCCAATGATCCAGTAAGTGAATGTATTCAAACAATCAGTCCAAAACAGCGCGAATGTAAAGAAAACCAGGCTTATTACATCAGAGATAGCAGAGAGAGCAGATAGCCTACTCACGTTGCATTTTCAGTTAATTTTTCATTCAAGTGTGTTTCGCTTTAAAACACGAACTCTGTCATATTCTATGATTGTCTCTGAATAGCACGAGCCCTCATGCATCGCGCTGTGTGAAATACAAATTGAAAACATCCCACCGCTGTATGACTAGATGAAATATGCTTCTCGGCTGGATAAAGCAAACCAGCATCTCACTAGTAGTAAAGAAGCGTGAGTCTTATTTACTGAAGCACAAAAACCATGTATGAGCGCATGTCTGACACATTTAAGTACATTCATGTTGTTTCCACACACATTCTGGATAATTTTTTGATTTGTCTCGTGTATGTTGCTGTGTTTAGTCATATTGAATGGATCCATGTACTGTAATAGGTATATGCAGTCAGGTCAAGGTGGTTGGTTTATGGTTTTTTGCCATCTCATGGCTGGCCTGACCTCAGTATGTGGTCCTGTTCAGTATCGCAACTTGACTTGTCTAAAATGTAAACAAGCTCTTTGCTGTTTTACTGTACACATACTATACACTGTGAATTATGAAAATTGTATTTTGTATTTTTTTTTCATGTGTACTTTGGTATCCATAAATGTATAAATTGTATGGACTCCTTATATCATTTGGTTCTTTAGTGTCCTTTTAGAGTCTCCAAGTATCCTTTTTTGGAAAGACATCAACATTTATCTTGTTTTGTTTCCATGTCTAAAGACACAGTCTTTCTTCTCTTTTTCTCTAAAGGAGTGGTGAAAAATAAGGATAGCGGTCTGACGAATGGCAGTCGTGTGGCTCAGCTCAGGAAGAACTTCAACACCACTAATGCCCCATGTGTCAAACCACCGATCCCCTGCAAGCCCACTCACCTACTGGCTTCCCCCTCTGTCAGATAAACACAACACTGCTACACGCCTGAAAAATATCCTTGTGTATCCAAAAATCTGCAAAATGAACTAAAAACACTAGAAAGACCTGCGCATACCTGAGCGTAAGAGCAGATCCAGGTGTGGACGCAGCTGGAGACGGATGTTATAAGGAAATCAAACACTTCTTATGACCCAGCTCGAGCCATCACTCTTCAGGTTTCACACTGTTTACAGAGGAATATGGTCTCCAAAAGACTCAAAGAATTGTTCTACTCCCTTTATACAATATTGTTTATTTTTTTATATTTTTTCTTATATAAACTTTGTTTCCTTAAGGGGAGGGTGACCAAAGTTATTGTGTCATGTTTGTATAGATAATTTTTCGTCTGGTTGTAAATAACGGTGTCATATTGTATTAAATAAAACAACTGGTTTTGAGAACTGAATGCTAATGCTGTTCCAGAACCTCCAATGTCTAGATGGATGGATGGATGGATGGATGGATGGATGGATGGATAGATAGATCGATCGATCTTCAAAATGCATTTCCATATTATCGCCACATGTTTGGTAACTCAGCGGCATCTGGTTCATGATGGAGACAGTCAATCATTCCAGCAGCTGGGATAGTTATCATCTGTGCGTTCCGACCGGTCGAGACAGACGGCAGTGCCGGGCCGTCATGCTGACCCTCTCGTCTCAAATGAGCACATGCAGCTGAGTTACTGACCTCTCCCTTATCTCCCTCCAATCCGCACTTCCTCTGAAGGATCAGGGGTGGAAAAAGAGAGACATAGAGGTGCATGGAAATAGAGGGAGCACAGATACGGAGGAAAAGATAGTAAAGAGGGACATAGGGAGATGGAGGGAAAGTAAAGATGATCTGAAGAGGATGGGTCACTCAATCTCATAAAATTTAGTTGGTTTGCAGGTGATTCTCCTTCTGTTGGAGCTGTGGCCTCGTGGTTTGCACATGTGCTTTAGAAGTGGTGGTCAATGGGTGGTCAATATATATTTGGAATTCTTTCTCATATACTGTATATATATATATATATATGTACATTTTATTACATAAAAACTATTAAATAATATAAAAAATTATGTATATGACCATAACCATATTCAGTTAGTATGATGTTATTTTATATAATTATAATTCCAATTTTAAAAGCTTATATATAGCTTTTATACACATAAGTCAACATACATTCAAATTTGACCCTATTTACTTTCTTTTTTATACTTTGTCTTCCAATTCAACACAATTTTACATTCTGTTCAGATATAACCATAAACATAAACAGTTATTATGATGTTAAATAAATGTAGTTCTGAGCAAAAAAAAAACAAAAAACAAAATGACATCAACTTTTTACAAATACTTTTTATGTTGTTTCAAAAATGTCTATTTCAAATAAATGGTGTTCTTTTGAACTTTCTATTCATCAAAACGTCCTGAAAAAGTATAATAGTTATATAAATCAAAATTAGAGAACAACCTATAATTTCCTAAATTTCAAGGTCACTGCTTAGTCCTATTTGAAGTTATCCTAACAGGAGTAGAAGGCCAGTTTTTAAAGCATATTTCATAAATTAATTGTATTTTGATGCACAGTAAGAAAAACCTTAAATGAGATATTTGAAAAAGAACTGATCAAAATTAGAGAACACTTACAGATACCTCCAAAAATTGCAGGTTTACAATGATACTAATTCATTCAAGTCCCCCCAAGAAGCTGGTCATCCACGTAAGACAAATGCACGAGAAGACAGGATAATCCAGAGAATCTCAATTGGCAATCGGTTCAACACTGCAGCTGGAATTGCTCGCCAGTTCAGTGCTGAACAGGGTCTGCTGGCCCAGAGTCCTGATCTAAACCCAACTGAAAATCTCTGGAAAATCCTTGGCGACAAAGTTATGGCTAAGAAACCCACTACAGTTACCAAACTTTGGAAGAGACTGGAAGAAGAGTGGACCAAGATCACACCTGCGCAGTGTGAGAAACTAGTGATATCCTGCCCACACAACTTTGGGCACTGCTCTGACGATTTTATCGGTAAAATAGTTTAGCAACTTAAAAGCTACATGACATTCCTCACTAGCGAAGTAATAACAGTACTGTTCTTGAAGCCAATGAACTTACAGTTTCGCTATTACTTCGCTCTTAATACCAGATATAAAAAGGGCCTGACGCTGCTGTCGAACACTGTTGATAGACGCACAGACTCAGGCTATTCACACACCTTTATCTCTCTCTCTCACTCTCTGCAAAATAACTGCATTAGTCTGCATTATCAATGGCTCAAGCATTCATTACTAACTCTAAAATGGCGTTTTGGAATTAACAAAGGAGGTGTGGGATGAGATGCGTAAGCAACATCTGAACAATGTCTTGAGGTGTGGTAACTGTGGTGTAAGTGAAAAAATGTACTCCGGTCCCTTGAATTATTAGAAAATATTGCACACCCAGTGCTTCACATCGTGGCTGCATCATCACCACAGGTCTGCATTATTTTCTAATTCAACGGCCGTCATCAATTATTCCTTAAAAGTTACTGTACTTTAAATACTTATTTATCTATTTATTTATTTTGACTGACGTCACCTCGGCCAAGTGGAGTTAAGTCATTCACATCGACTGCAAACAAGTATTCAGGTTTGAAAAGCCCACTTTTGATTTGAATATTCTGCTTGCAGTCAAGTAAACTTCATTCTAGTCTGCACAAACATTACACAAAAACAGCGGCCTGTTAATATGGGATGATAGATTTAGTGCCGATTCTCTCAATGATCTGATGCAACCAACCGTTCTAGATGTATGTTTTCAAAACTCAACTAATGATGGCTACCTACCATAGAAATACCTCTGATGTGTGGATGGCGAGAGAACGGATTAATATTTCATAAACAGTATCATTGCTGTTCTGCAGAGTTTGGGGGAAGCTGCTCTGTATCTCCAGTCAATACTTTATGTCTGTCGCTTCTGTAGTGACCAAACCAGTGTAGAATTTTTACATGAGAGGAGAATTGATATTCCCCCCCTCTCTCTCTTTCTCCATGCTTCCCTCTATCTCGCTCTCTCTTCTAAGCTTCTACAAAGACCACGACTGTTTTGCCGTTACACTCAGATGATCTGAAGAAGCTTCCTGGAGGAAGAGGAAGGTGGGGGGTTTCTCTGAGCTCGAGGAGGACAGGGGTACTCAGGCATCGTAAACCTTTTAAACGCACGCGCGCACACACACAGGCGGACAATTCCCTGCTGCAGTGGGATTCTCTGAAGGGAGATAAAAAAAAGGCTCTGTTGTGCGCGGGAAGAGAGAGAAGCCCATCACCACCTCCACCACTGTCACCCAGAGAGAAAAAAGCGAGAGAGAGGGAGAGAGAGGGATGGAGAGAAAAAAGGTGTTGTGGCGGTCTAGTGGTGTAGGCTGAACCTCGGCTCCAGTGACCCCTGGCGAGAGAGAGCTGTGTGTGTGTGTGTGTGTGTGTGTGTGAGTATCGCTGCAACATGTGACAGGGCTACACACACACACACACACACACACAGCCTCACCCCCTCAGGCAAGAGCGAAACGGTCTGCAGCGAAAGTGCCAGTGTGTGTGTGTGTGTGTGTGTGTGAGTATCGCTGCAACATGTGACAGGGCTACACACACACACACACACACACACACAGCCTCACCCCCTCAGGCAAGAGCGAAACGGTCTGCAGCGAAAGTGCCAGTGTGTGTGTGTGTGTGTGTGTGTGACCGAATCTGTTCTGCTAAAACAATCCCTTCTGTGTGCGAGTGTGTGTGTGTGTGTCTATACGTGGGGCTGCGTGTGCGTGTCCATGCGTGCGTGTCTTGCAGTGAAAGGTCTACTGCGTTTTTTCCTCCATGATTAATCAGAGCGAGGGCAGGAGGCCGAGGGCCGAAGGGACTGCGACAGCTCCAACGCGCTTAACCCTTCACTGCCCACTCACACACGGACTGGAGATCCACACTAAACAAGACCTGTAATATCACAAACACTAAAACGATCTCGAACTAATTAGCTTGGACTATGGTTGAAGGCTAATAGAGCGCAACAGGGTTTTAGCATTAAACAATTGTTCAATAAACCGTTCTATGCCATGAATTAACCACTCGGTTCTGAATTGAATCGTGACATTACAAACTTCGATCTAACATTACAAACTTTTCAAAATATACATACATACATACATACATACTTACATAGAAAACTGTTTGTCATAATATATAGGCTACCCAAAGACATTATATGATATAGGCCTAGCTACTAAATACTAAAAAAAACAAAAAAAACACAATGTTTTCTAGTATGTGAAAACCTTTATCAACACTACATTTCAAAAGTTGGTGTTGGTAAGAGTTTTTGAAAAGAGTTTCTTATGCTTTTCAATGCTGCATTTATTTGGTCAAAAACACAGTAATATTGTGACTAATATTATTCCAATTTAAAATAGCCTACCTGTATTAAAATATCATTTCTGAAATGTCAAAGCTGAATTTTCAGCAGCCACTAGTTTTCAGTGTCACATGATCCTTTAGAAATCATTTTAATGCTGCTTTGCAACTCAAGAAACATTTGTTATTATTATTAATGTGGAAAACAGTTGTGCTAATTAATGTTTTTGTAGAAACCGTGATATTCAGGATTCTTTGATGAACAGAAAGTTCAAAGGAACAGTATTCATTTTAAACAGAAATCTTTTGAAACATTATAAATGCCTTTACTGTCACTTTTGATAAATTTAATGCCTTATGGCTGAATAAAGGTATATATATATATATATACAGTGGGTACGGAAAGTATTCAGACCCCCTTAAATTTTTCACTCTTTGTTATATTGCAGCCATTTGCTAAAATCATTTAAGTTAATTTTTTTTCCTCATTAATGTACACACAGCACCCCATATTGACAGAAAAACACAGAATTGTTGACATCTTTGCAGATTTATTAAAAAAGAAAAACTGAAAAATGCTCAGTATTTAGTAGAAGCACCCATTTGATCTAATACAGCCATGAGTCTTTTTGGGAAAAATGCAACAAGTTTTTCACACCTGGAATTGGGGATCCTCTGCCATTCCTCCTTGCAAATCCTCTCCAGTTCTGTCAGGTTGGACGGTAAACGTTGGTGGACAGCCATTTTTAGGTCTCTCCAGAGATGCTCAATTGGGTTTAAGTCAGGGATCTGGCTGGGCCATTCAAGAACAGTCACAGAGTTGTTGTGAAGCCACTCCTTCGTTATTTTAGCTGTGTGCTTAGGGTCATTGTCTTGTTGGAAGGTAAACCTTAGTTCCAGTCTGAGGTCCTGAGCACTCTGGAGAAGGTTTTCGCCCAGGATATCCCTGTACTTGGCCGCATTCATCTTTCCCTCGATTGCAACCAGTCGTCCTGTCCCTGCAGCTGAAAAACACCCCCACAGCATGATGCTGC